AAGTATTCTTACTTGAAATTAGGGATGGGTATGGTCCAATTCGGTTCAATTCTAACGAGAACAGAATAAAAACTAAAATTTTCGAATATTTAGTAAGTGAAATCGTCGGATCCAAATTTAATTGTGGAACCATCCTTCTAAAATCGATGCTCAGAAATGGAAACATGTATTTATGAGGACCATGTAACAATTTATCATAGATTTATTTGCTATCATTGGGTGTTAAATGTTCAACTATAATATAAAAGTTTATGGCTAAATTCTAAAGATTGACTATCAACTTATGAATCATACAATAGCTTAAGGACCTATGCAATAATTTTTCCTCGTGTTTTTAGAGGACCTTTACCAAGTTCCAAGACCAACTATCACATATAGCTGTTCAACTCCTTTTTAAGTTTCAGATAATCTCATCAAATTCTTGATATATTTCAATTTTTAGGAGGTAAGAATAATTATATTAATCAATTTATTTATAGCATACCATATAAAAATATCATTTTTTTTCTTTATTTTGAGATTTACATTTTATATAATAATGTGTTATTTAATATCGTAAAATTATTTAAAAATAATTATCTTCATATTGTTTGATTTTTTAGGCTTTCTATTCCACTTTCAAAAACATTTTGTTTTATTTTATTGTGATTAATCTCATTATGAAAATTCTTCAAAAAGCAATATGGATGCTACTCCAACCATCATAAAAGATATCATATATAGATTAATATATGATCAATTTCTTGTTCGACAAAAAGTTGGTCAAACTTCATTTTTTAACAACACATTCATTGAACACACAATTTTTATTTACATTTTTATTCTACACTTCGTGTGACCCATCAACTTTATTAAGCCCCTAATTGGCCCCCATTAAATTTCAATTTATTTTTCTCCATCTTCGTATCAATCACATATTTTTCAATAAAATAATATTAAACGTAAACCTAAAAATTTTTCCTTCTTTTTCAACAACACATTCTTCATAAGAATTACTATTCTCCTCATTAAAATGTGGAATAATAGAGCCCAAACAGCTCCTAACTTTTAACAATATGACACAAACTTATAAGATAATGTTTACAATACTATTTTTAGCAATTTATTATGAGCAATGTAATGGTAATTTTTCAAATTTCAAGATATTCTATTAAGGGTTCTTCTGTTGAATCAATTTCATCTAAAAGTTTTTCTAACCAAAATTTTTATAAATTAATCAAATAGGATCAAAAATAAATTTTTAATTTCAGAATAATTTTTTTGACCGTTTAAATAGCTTATCAAACGAATCCTTATCCTTGTCACATTTTGCCCAAAGTCGAATATAAAAATTTAAACAATGAGAAGAGAACAATAGTATCTTAAGCACTAAAGTTCAGTCATGTTACACTAACAACAAAATTGGCATAAAGTTTGATATAATATTACGTAGTATTTTATTATTGGACAGTTTGAAATACGGCCAGCTTTATCATTCAATCATCTACTGTCACATGTAATTATGTCAAACTTTCTATCAAATTCTTTGGACAAAGTAGCTTTATCCACTAAAATTTTCGTATCTCGCAAACAATTACCAACCCGTTGTGGATTTACTAACTAGATTATAGATTCGTAAATGGAACTTTAAACCCTGAGCTCAAATTCCAAACATGGTGTCAGTCATTGAATAAGCTAAGTGTACAAGGTTTTCTTTACAGGTGTTGTTAAATTGGCAAAAAAAAAATTTCTTTTCTTTTTTTTTTCTTGCCAACTGCCAATCAGATTGCACCAAGTGAAATTGTGAAACATTTATAAAGAAAACATGTACGTGTAGCATTGCTCATTAGTCATATCTCTTATTCTTGCTTTTGTCATGAGTACAACCCATTTGTATTACCCAATAAAGTAAAGACATAATACACAGAAAACATGTCCGTTTCCAGAATTCCAATTAATGAAATCGTGACTGTTAATCGGATGTATTTTTCCATATTTTGAGCCCCCACTCAAAATACCGGACGCATAAAGAAAAGCGTATGCTAGTGTGTATAAACTGTACAGATAGAGTACCGGATGTATTGAAATAAATAAATAAAGGTTGAACTCCAACATTCAGGCCTCCACCGTCACTCTCCTAGAGTTTTGTGAGAGAGGTAAATCGCGGGATGTATTCCAACAAATCAGGGAATAAAAATTGTTTGTACATTACGCCTACAATGAATTCAATTCCATATCTCAGGAATCGAACTCCCACGTTGCAACTGTTAGCAGGGGCGTGAGATAATCTCAATCCAATTCTTTGCACCACTATGCTAGTGTGTGTATAAACTGTACAGAGAGAGATAGAGAGAGCTCTTCATTTTGAGTACTTTTACAGGACATAGTACTTGAGACTGGAGAATGAAAATGCAGATGACCCATCACATATAAAGCGCTTGTTTGATAAAGATTTTATAAGAAATGATTGTTTGAAAAGTGTTTTTTTTTTTTTTTTCTCCAGTGGATGGTGGTTAAAAAGTATGGAAATTGATGGATTGAAAAAGAGTTTGGGAGAGAAGTGATAGTCGAAGAATCAAAATCAAAGAGGCAAAGAGAGAAAACAGAGTTGGCGTTTAATGCGTGAGAGAAAGATGGTCTGAAAGTGAAAATCTTAGCAGCTGGGTGGTTCTCATAACAACAGCTGCTGGACAAGTTTCTGTAAACGAGATTTTCATTTTCATTTGTAAGTTTAAAGTTTGAATCTTGCTTTCTTGATTTTTTCCTCGTTCTCGCTTCTCAAGAAATTCGAATATCCAAATTTTGCCGTTTTCTAGAGGCCCATTTGCATAAATTTCATGGTTTGACTGAAATGTTCGATGTAGTTAGGAATCTGGGGTGCTGTAAAATTTGATTTTTTATAGTTCTGTCATCTCTTTAGAAAGTTTTTGATCTGATTTTTTGTTGAGCGACATTGTTTATTAGAAAAATATATATATATATATATATATATATAAGTTCAGTCTCTGCAGCCCGAGTTTTGCATTTGGTTGGATTTTCTTTTGAAAAATCGTCCCTTCATTGAGATTTCTCCTTTACATTATTTCTTGACCAAAAAATAAAATAAAATAAAATTGTGTAATTAGTTGGTTAAACTGTTTGAGGTTGCGATTTTTGTGAATTGAAAGTCTGTCAATATTATATTTGCTTTAATATCTTTTCCTTCTTTTGATGGATTATGGTTGGATTTATTTACTATGTTAGCACTACTATTTCATGTAATTGTGCTACATTTTATTTCCTTCTGTTTTCTGTTGTCTCTGGTAGATCATGAAGTAGATTATGAATCATGGTCAAATTTTAGCTACCGGCTGTGTCACTGCAGTCTGCAGTATCTTTCCTTCTCCAAATTGACGATGCCCATTATTTACATTTCTAGTCTACAGTGTGTATATAGGAACAATGTTATGTTTACTTATCCTCTGCTGCAGGTTTTTTTTTTTTCTTTTATTTTTGAGTGTTAGCTAGAGGCCATTCCAGTGGAGTTGTTTTTTCTGTTAACTTCTGATCGGTGCCTGACTAAGCAAGTAACTTTAAATGTCATAACTTTCAATCTATGGATCATTATATGATCAAAATCAGCTGTTTCAATTCAATAGATCGTTGTATGGAAGCATAATCGTTGAGATTCCAGAGAATGATATATTTGACATTTGCAATATCATGTTTGTTCTTGTTATTCTAATGACTAGGTGCAAGAAAGCTCTAGTAGTTCGTCTGAATATTGAGTTCTTATACTGGACTGGATCAGTTATCTGGATTCTAAGGGACACGCTTTCCCCAAGTCAAAGGCAGTTGCAATTTTGTTATTTGCTGGAGTAATGGGAACTTTGATACACTCCAAATCCAGGCTCTTGTATTCTTGGTGGTGGGACAGCCACGTTAGCCCAAAGAACTCAAAATGGCTCAAAGACAACCTTACTGGTGGGTATTTTTCCTGCAGTCTATTTCCCTCTCTCTTCGTATTTTAATTTGCTACATTTCAAGATGGTATTAATACATGACATATTCGTATAAAATAGTTTTCTGATTCGTGTTGTTAAAATGTGTTGGACTTTGTGGACTACAATCACATTGGCTCTGTTTGAGCCACATTTAAAAAAAAAAAAAAAAAAATACATTCTTAAATAGTAATTTGACATCATTTCAACTACACATTCTTCAATAAAATAATATTATACTCAAATCCAAAATTCTTCCTTATTTTTTAATCACATTTCTCATCAATACATTATTCAAAAATACATTCTTATGAAAACAATGTGGCTCAAACAAAGGGATTGTACAATTTTTTCTTTGAACATCTATCAACCTTGTAATCTTCTGAAGGATTTTGGGCTGAGGGTTGCATTTTTAGTAGAGAAGACAGAGAGTTCTTTGAAACATTCTGTAATCTACCTAGTAATTATAGTGAAAATCCGCTGCTGCGTCAAGTGGACATAGCTATTACATTAAAGGTGACGCATCTCTCACAATGAGGATGAACACCACTATAAATCTGTGTATATGCTACGTGTGTTTTTTATTTTGTTTTGTTTATTATTGCTCTCGGAGTTGGGGATTATTGTTTGACCCATAACAAAGTGTTGGCTTCGTCCCATAAATACAATTAAAGCAATAGATAAGAATTTCTGGATCCACATACTTATTTGTCCTGTCATTAATTATAATTGGGTAAGATAACAGAATTGAACTCAGAACTGTAAGCTTCTCTTGGGGTTTGTCTTGGCTGCATAAGATTTACTATTTGCTCGGTCAAATGTGGATGTTATGATGTTAGTTGATCTCACACGAAATCTGAAGTGCATCGTTAGCAAAATACAAAAGAAAACTGCAGAATAAAAATATCAAAATCATACTTTTGCTGATTGACCTTCCTCATGTTGAACTCTGTTGCTTTTACATAACAATCCGTCTTTCCCTGCTTAGTTCTTAGCCAATGGCATCAATGGAAATGTAACCGATGTGTTCGGTAAACAGCTATGGATGCCAAAGTGAAATCCATGATCAAGCTCATTGACGAAGATGCTGATTCATTTGCTAAAAGGGCTGAAATGTACTACAAAAAAAGGCTTGAGTTAATGAAATTGGTGGAGAAGTTCTACCAGGCTTACTGTACGTTAGCTGAAAGATATGATCATGCAACGGGGGAGCTCCGGCATGCCCATCGAGCCATAGCCGAGGCATTTCCCGATTGGGTACCATATGAACTGGTTGAAGATTCACCTTCAAAATCTGTGGGACTAGATATAGAGCCTCACACACCAGAAATAAAACGTTCACTGCATGCATTAGTTGACCTACATGACTTGTGTAAGGATGCCTTGGAGGATGGACCTCATTTGGGAGAATCTGAAAGGGGAATTAGAAATATGGGTTCGAAAAAATTCCATGAGATATTCTTGGGGAAAGAACCAGATGCAAAAAATCCGATGTCTGTTGAAGGAAGAGTAAGAAGAGGTCTGAACATGGAAAAAGAAAGAAAAGAAGGCATTCATGGTCAAGTGATCCAATTGTCAAATGAAAATTCAGAATCTCAAAGAGATGGTTCTTTCTGAGTCGACTAGAGCAGGAAAAGCTGAAAATGAAGTTCGAGGCTTAAAGAAAGTGCTCGTTGATATGCAAGGTGAAATGGAAGATGTCTTAAGTATCAAAGGTGTCTAGAAAAGTTATCTAATCTTTAGGGAGAGCTTGAATATGCAAAAAATAATTCCAAGCAGCTTGATGAAAAATCAAGTAGGGCTGAAATTGAAGTTCAAACATTGAAGGAAGCCCTTACGCAATTCGATGCTGAAAGGGACACTGCTCTAGTCAGACAGAAGGAGTACTTAGAGATAATATCTAATCTGGAGGCTATGGCTTCAAAAATCCAAGAAGATATGAAGGAACAAATAATTAAAGCTGAAAATGAATCTCAAACTCTGAAAAATGAAATTGCAAGGATAAAATTTGAAGAAGAAACTTTCATCAGTACAAACAGTGTCTTGGAAAAATATCAGATTTGGAGAGGACAATCACTATGGCTGAGGATGAAGCTCGATCCCTCAAGTCATTAGCAGAATGTTCTGAAACTGAAGTCTCTAAACTGAGAAAAGCTCTTGCTAAGCTAAACGAGGAGAAAGAAGCTATTGCCTTCTTGTACAAGTGCTGCCTCCAGACCATAACCAAGCTTTAGCATGATATAAGCTTTGCCAAAGAGGAATGTACACGCCTTAAGAGTGAAGTTCTTAGCTCAAGAGTGCTGAAGAGAAGTGTTTTCTGTTGGAATCGTCGAATCAATCCCTATGTGTTGGGGCAGATAATTTGGCAGAGAAGATTGCAGTGAAAGATCAAGAACTTTCCGAGGAGGAGGAGTTGAAGAAACTTCAGGCTCGACTTCTAGATTAGCATTTACGTTATGCACAAATTGAAGCCACTCTCCAGACTCTACAAAGTTTGCACTCACAATCCAAAGAAGACCAGAAGGCTCTGGCACTGGAGCTCTAAAATGGGCTGCAAATGCTAAGGACTTGGAAATTTGCGAACATGGCTTGGAAGAAGAAATTAGGCAGGTTAAGGATGAAAATCATACCTTGAGTGAAATGAAATTATGTTCAAATGTTTCAATGGAGAATATGCGAACTGAAATCCTTAGCCTAAGGGCGATGAAGGAGAGGCTTGAACAAGAGGTCTCCCACCAAATAACAAAAAGTAACTCACTTTTGCAGGAAATTTTGTGCTTGAAAGAGGAAATGAAAGGCTTAAAATGAACACATAAGGGTTTAGTTGAGCAAGTCGAAGCAGCAGGTCTGAACCCAAGCTGTATTGGAACTTCAATAAAGAGCTGTCAGGATGAGAACTTGAGGCTGAGACAAATGTGTGAGCTGGAAAGCAATGAGAAAGAAGTATTATTGAAGAAGTTGGAAAACATGGAAGAACTTTTGAAGAAAAAGGCTGCTGCGAAGAGCACCCTGTCAGACACAAATGGCGAGCTTGAAAGATCGTGTGAAAAGTTATGTCATTGCAAGAATCTTCCCAGTTTCTCCATGGAGAAAAGTCTTCCCTAGTTTCCGAGAAAGCTTCCATTCTTTCTCAGTTGCATGCTATAACTGAGAACATGCATAAGCTATTGGAGAAAAATGCTGTTCTGGAGAACTCTGACTGCAAATGTTGAACTTGAAGGTTTGAGGGAAAAATCAAAGGGCATAGAAGAGATTTGTCAATTGCTTAAGGATGAAAAATCCCATCTTTTGAGTGAAAAGGACACCTTAGTTGCGAAGTTGGAAAATTTTGAAAGAAGACTAGAATGTCTAGAGAAAAGATTTATGGTACTGGAAGAAAAACATGCTGGGATAGAGAAGGAGAAAGAAGGTATGCAATTTCAAGTGGAAGAACTGAAGGTTTCACTGGGTGCGGAGAAGCAAGAATGAACAAGCTCTGATTTGAAACTGAAGGCCGGTTCTCTGTATTAGAAAACCATGTTTATCTCCTGCAAGAAGAAAATAGATGGAAAAGAAAGAATTTGAAGAGGAATGTGATAAAGCTCTGAAAGCCCAGATTGAGATTAACACTTGGCAAAAACTCATTAAAGATTTAGAAGAAAAAAATTACTCTCTCATTATCGACTGTCAAAAACATGTCGAGGCTTCCAAATTGGCAAATAAAGTGATTGCAGAGCTGGAGAGTGAAAATCTTGAGCGGCAGGTAGAAGCAGAACTCTTGTTGGATGAAATTGAGAGACTGAGGTTGGCAATCTACCGAGTGTTCAGGTCCCTTGAAATTGGTAATGATTTCACTGCCGAGGCGCATCATGGTCTTGAAAATATTGAGGATATGAAACGTATGATCTCAAAACACGAGGATGATAAGCAGCAGCTCTTGGTTGAAAACTCAGTTCTCATAACACTACTTGAGCAGTTGGAGTCAAATGGCATAGAAATGGAGTCACAGAAGATATACTTCAAGCAGGAGTTCAAAATTGAAGCTGAGAAGCTTGCTGAAGTAAATAATGAAAAAGATGAACTTCTAAAAATCAATAGGCAATTGGAATTCGAGGTGATGAAAAATCACCAACACACTGGTGTTCTTGATACTGAAATGGGGAGGCTTCGTGTCCAACAGGCTGACCTGCATAAAGCTTACATTGAATTAAAGGATGCACATTCTCATGTTCTTCAAGAAAATAGATCTTTGCTGAAAAAGTTATCTGATTTCAAGGAGGAGAAATGGCTGGTAGATCAAGAAAATGATGTGGTCCTCCTGGAATTGTTGGCCATTGCTAACCAATCTGTAGTTTTCAGGAACTTCGGGACCAAAAATGTTAGAGAGTTAAACATACTACTTGAAGATTTGAACAGCCAACATGAGGTGAACAATAATCTTGAAAAGGAAATGAGCTTATTGAGAGGGAAGCTGGAAATGCAAGAAGCGGAAAATTTAATACTTAAAGGTTCTGTTCATAGGATGGAAATTGAGCTGCAAGTAATCAGAGAATCTAGTGTTGAGATGGAGAAGGAAATTTTTTATGGAAAGGAGATTTTAATTCAGAAAAAGGCAAAGCTTTTAGATGCCAAGATGAAGCTTGAAGCTGCTGAAAACCTGAACTCAACACTGCAAAACAGCGGGCAGACTGGAGAGTGATATTCAAGAATCAACGCAGATGAGAGAGAATTTAGAGGAGGAGATGTTTCAACTCTCAGAAAAAAGTGCTCTTCAAAACAAAGAAATTGAAAGCCTTCATGTGGTGAATGCAAATTTTGTTGTCGGAAATTCGACTAACGCAATCAAAAGAACAAATAATATAAGCAGAAAAATAGAAAACAGTAAATGAAGCGAGGTATGCCAATAAAATAAGCAAATCTCCTTAAGATAGATTTCGCCCCCAATGAAGTGCAAAAGGGATTATGGACGTCTGTCTCCCAAAATACAACGCTCCTTCCAAAGTTGATACTGCTCAATACCAACCTTGTCGGTCGGACCAATGAAAGATCGTACTCGAACGGAATAACCACGGAAATATAAGAGAATTTTTAGAGCAAAATATGAAGAGAGAGAAGAATTTAGAAATCAATTGAATTCGTAATTGATTTGGTGTGTCAAAAACGAATCTGGGGGTCTCTATTTATAGAGATTAAAGTGTCTCATGGAATAGGTGTGTGACATTTTAGGAACTGGTGCACCACTTGGTCGGTGCACTTGGTCTGATTCGTCTTAGCCATTGGATCGCACTATTTTCATGATCTGACGGCCCAGATTGAACCATGAAGTGAAGTGTCCATTCATCATGCCTATTCATCAATTTCTGAACAGTTACAGCCATGCGGATGCCACGCGTACATCTAATCGCCACGCAGGACGAAGGGACGCGACCTACCACTCGTGCGCCACCTAGAATGCCAACTTACCGAGCCTTGTGCTGCCACGTCATTGAACCACGAGTCCATTTCCGAAAACTATAAGGCTCCCCAGCTCCTCGCGATGATGCGTACGTGCGAAGTGCGCCTCTAAAGCGCCCAATGCATACTTTGCGGCGTGCGCGTGCCGGGATCGGGACCGGGTCCGGGGAGCGGCGCGAGTGGTGCGAAGCACCACTCTAGTGGTGACTAGCCTTTGGCTAGCTAAAGTTAGCCAAGTGATAGGTAACTTATTAAATTATATATTATTCACACAACCCACTATATAAATAAGACTATTTTCTTGTAAACTTTCGATGTGGGACTCCTTTCCATATAAAAAACACTTAAAATGGGTTTATCAACATATGGGCCTATATTGGAGATTTTTCCAATTCACCCAAATTAATTGCAATGACCCACATCATTAAATATTACATTTAATGTTTTAAACCCAAATTAAATTCAATTAATTCCAATAATCCCCCACATGAATGGAAGAAGTCGACTCAAATCAAGAAAGACGGAAGAAGAGTACTATCTGAAAGATAACGCATCAAGATAGGCAGCTTTCGCTTTGAACCTTCTTTAGTAAGAATCTATCGAACTCACTTGGCTAATCAGTGAACGCAACGTTTTGAACTGTCAGCCGTTATTGCAAGCTCAGACAACAGACCAAACACATTATCTCTCATATAAAACTTGGTTCTCTATTGTATTCATTATTTCGGCCCTGAACTACTTGGGTTCTGCGAGTGCTTTAGAGAATTCGCCTAAGTAAATTCTCATAGAACAGGCTAAGTTCGCACTAACATAGGTGATGCACTATAAAGAGTACCCTACTGTAATTACTTGTACCATTTATAGTCATCATTAAAAGCAAAGCTCATCTTTAATACACTTCATAGTCAGCACTTTTTGCATCATAGAAATGGGAAGGAGTTAACTCCTAAGTGCTTCTTATCGAGTCATTCATAATTAGTTTTCCTATTGAACCTAGTCCATGGGATCTCCAGTTGCCAGGTTAGGTTTCCACTAAGACGACTCATTCGGTTTTAGGCTTTAAACCCATTTCCCTCGATGCGCAGTCTATACGCTCTCTAGATAACCCTTTAGTGAACGAATCCGCTAGGTTTTCTTTTGACTTAACAAAATCAATTGATATTGTTCCATTTGAGAGCAACTGCCGAACGGTGTTATGTCTACGACGTATATGTCTCAACTTACCGTTATACACAAAATTTTCAGCCCTAGCTATTGTGGCCTGGTTATCACAATGAATACAAATAGCCGGTACAGACTTTGGCCATATAGGAATATCTTCTATGAAGTATCTTAACCATTCTGCTTCTTCTCCTGCTTTGTCTAAAGCAATAAACTCAGATTCCATAGTAGATCGAGCTACACACGTTTGCTTAGAAGATTTCCATGATATAGCGCCACCACCGAGAGTAAATACATAGCCACTGGTAGACTTTGACTCGTCTGTATCTGATATCCAATTGGCATCACTATATCCTTCAATTACTGGAGGATATTTTCCATAATGTAATGAATACTCTCTGGTCCGTTTCAAGTATCCCAAAACTCTAAGTAATGCATCCCAATGTTGATTACTTGGGTTACTTGTGTAACCACTCAGCTTACTTACCGCGTAAGCTATATCAGGTCTTGTACAATTCATCAGGTACATTAAACTACTAATAATTTGGGAATATTCCAACTGCTGTTTCCTATTTCCACTATTCTTGTGAAGAACTATATGTGGAAGAAATGGGTTACTCGTCTTTTTAATATTATGAGTCTTAAACCTCTCAATTATTTTATCAACGTAATGGGTTTGAGATAAGACTATTCCATTTGATATTCTAGATATCTTTATTCCTAGAATCACGTCTGCTTCACCCATATCTTTCGTGTCAAAGTTATTGGTAAGTATATTCTTTGTTCTATTGATGACTTCTATATTAGTCCCTAATATAAGCATGTCATCAACATACAAACAGACGAGTACATATGCATTTTCGAATTTTTTCGAATATACGCATTTGTCACATCCATTTATGATGAATCCATTCGTAATCATGACGCTGTCAAACTTTTCGTGCCATTGTTTAGGAGCTTGCTTCAAATCGTATAAGGACTTAACTAGTTTGCAAACTTTGTTCTCTTGTCCTTTTACTATGAAACCTTCTGGCTGTTCCATATATACTTCTTCGTTTAAATCACCATTCAGGAATGCAGTGTTAACATCCATTTGATGTATTTGTAAGTTGTATGAGGCTGCAATAGCAATTAAACCCCAAATAGAAGTAATTCTTGTTATTGGAGAATATATGTCAAAGAAATCAATTCCTTCTTTCTGACGATATCCTTTTGCAACCACTCGAGCCTTGTATTTGTCTATTGAACCATCAGATCTTAACTTTCTTTTAAAGATCCATTTGCATCCTATTGGTTTAGTTCCCTTAGGAAGATCAACCAATTGCCAAGTATTATTATTCATAATAGATTTAATTTCACTATTTATAGCTTCCTTCCAGAATACGGATTCTGGAGTAGTCACAACTTCTTTAAATGTTTGGGGCTCTTTCTCAATTCCGAAAGAAATAAAGTTTGGACCAAAGGATTTAGCGACCTTTGCTCTTTTACTCCTTCTTGATTCAGGTTCTATATTGTTTTCAATAGCATTATCTCGTGTTCTCTTTTGAGTATTCTCAAGAATATCTCTTTTATTTGGGAACACATCTTCAAAGAATTCAGTATCTCGAGATTCAAAAATTGTATTGACATGAATGTCACTTATATCAGATTTATGTACAAGAAATCTGTACGCACTACTATTTATTGCATATCCGATAAAAATGCAATTAATAGTTTTAGGACCTAACTTAATCCTTTTGGGAGGTGGAATAGCCTCTTTAGCTAGGCACCCCCACACTTTTAAGTATTTATAGGAAGGCATTCTACCTTTCCATAACTCATAAGGTATCGAATCAGTTTTTTTATGGGGAACTCTATTCAGAATAAAGTTAGCAGTTAGCACTGCTTCCCCCCACAAGTTTTGTGGTAATCCAGAACTTATAAGCATAGCATTAACCATGTCTTTTAGAGTTTTATTTTCCCTCTCAGCAATCCCATTTTGCTGCAGAGTATACGGGGCTGTTGTTTGGTGAATAATACCAAACTTAGCACATAACTCATCAAACATAGACGAATCATATTCACCACCTCTATCGGATCTTAATACCTTAATTGTTTTTCCAAGTTGATTTTCAACTTCGTTTTTGTAAGTAACAAATGCATTCAATGCTTCGTCTTTGCTACTTAATAAATAAACTTGGCAATATCTACTGTGATCATCTATAAACGTGATAAAATATTTTTTACCACCTCGAGTCTGAACAAATTTTAAATCACAAATATCGCTATGTATTAAACATAACGGTTCACTACTCCTTTCAATTGTGTTAAAATGTTTTTTTAGCAAATTTTGTTTCAACATAAATTTCACATTTATGTTTGTTTTCGGAGTCAAGTTTAGATATAAGACCTAAACCTACAAGTTTTCTTAAGAAAGCACGATTTACATGTCCTAATCTGCTATGCCATAAATTCGAAGATTCAAGCAAGTAAACAGAAGTATTAGTTTTATTGATAACTTGTGGATACAAATATGTGGATTTTTTCTCCACTACAACAGTATTGGCCTTAAATAGACCATCAAGTAAATAACCCTTCCCAACATATATGTCCCCCTTAGTAAGTACAAATCTATCAGATTCAAACACCATTTTAAATCCTTTCTTACTAAGAATAGCTCCTGAAATCAAATTCTTTCTGATATCTGGGACATGTACAACTTCATTAAGCGTCAGTTCCTTCCCTGATGTGAATTTCAGAATAACCTTTCCAATCCCTTCAATATTGGATGTTGTAGAATTTTCCATGTAAAGACACTCATTATGATTCAAGGTCTTATATTCAGCGAATAAACCCTTATCTGCACAGATGTGACGAGTGGCTCCTGTGTCCAACCACCAATCCTTTGCATTAGATACCAAATTAACTTCAGAAACAACAGCAGATAGGTTGATGTCTCCAACATCCGTAGAAATTTTATCCACTTCGGTTATATTGGCTTGGAGCGGTTTCTTTTTCTGTGTATCCTTCTTTTTGCTTCGACAGTCTTTAGCCCGATATCCCGGCTTCCCGCAAGTATAACAGTTGCCTTTGAACCGTTTTGCATTGTCGACTTTTTCTTTGTCCATAGATGAGCCAGAACGCTTCCTTTTCTTGTTCTTAGACCTCGAGTCTTCCACCATGTTAGCCTTTGCTTCCATGTTGCGGACATTATTCTTTTCTGAAGCCCGGTTGTCTTCTTCAATGCTAAGTCGAACAATTCCTCCATCGTCATCTCTTTGCATTTATGCTTGAGATAGTTTTTGAAATTTTTCCATAGTGGAAGTAGTTTCTCGATCATAGCAGCAATTTGGAAAGATTCACTCAAAGTCATATCTTCAGCTTCAATATCGTGAAGTAGAACTTGTATCTCTTGAACTTGACTCATAACTGTCTTTGAATCAGTCATCTTGAAATCTAGAAATTTGCCGACAATGAATTTCTTCGTTCTGGCTTCTTCGGTTTTGTATTTTTTGTCAAGAGACTCCCACAGTTCTTTAACCGTCTTGTAATTACAATACACACTATATAAAGTGTTATCTAATCCATTGAGAATGTAATTACGGCATAAGAAATCCGCATGTTTCCATGCTTCAATAGCTAACTGAGTATTTTTATCAGTAACATTCTCCGATGTTTGTGCGGGACATTCTTCACGCAGAAATTTTACTAAGTTCAATGTTGTCAAATAGAATAGCATCTTCTGTTGCCAACGTTTGAAATCCATGCCATTGAACTTTTCCGGTTTCTCATATTGTGAAGCCGGTGGCATGACAAATTGATTGGAACCAGAATTTGGTGCAATCACAGCATTGGTATTGCTCTCAACGGTACCAATCGCAACGCTAGTATTATTATCAGTACTAGCCATTTTCTGTAAGACCACAATTACAAAAAATAATCAATAATAGAAATGTAGAAGTAATGAGAAAAATAAATCTGTCTTAAGATTGTTGTCGGAAATTCGACTAACGCAATCAAAAGAACAAATAATATAAGCAGAAAAATAGAAAAAAGTAAATGAAGCGAGGTATGCCAATAAAATAAGCAAATCTCCTTAAAACAGATTTCGCCCCCCAATGAAGTGCAAACGGGATTATGGACGTCTGTCTCCCAAGATACAATGCTCCTTCCAAAGTCGTTACTGCACAATACCAACCTTGTCGGTCGAACCAATGAAAGATCGTACTCGAACGGAATAACCACGGAAATATAAGAGAATTTTTAGAGCAGAATATGAAGAGAGAGAAGAATTTAGAAATCAATTGAATTCATAATTGATTTGGTGTGTCAAAAAAAGGAATCTGGGGGTCTCTATTTATAGAGATTGAAGTGTCTCATGGAATAGGTATGTGACATTCTAGGAACTGGTGCACCACTTGATCTGATTCGTCTTAGCCATTGGATCGCATTATTTTCATAATCTGACGGCCCAGATTGAACCATGAAGTGAAGTGTCCATTCATCATGCCTATTCACCAATTTCTGAACAGTTACAGCCATGCGGATGCCACGCGTACATCTAACCGCCACGCAGGACGAAGGGACGTGACCTACCACTCGTGCGCCACCTAGAATGCCAACTTACCGAGATCGAACCACGAGTCCATTTTCAAAAACTATAAAGCTCCCCAGCTCCTCGCGACGATGCGTACGTGCGAAGTGCGCCTCTAAAGCGCCTAATGCGTACTTTGCGGCGTGCGCGTGCCGGGACCGGGTCCGGGGAGCGGTGCGAGTGGTGCGAAGCACCACTCTAGTGGTGACTAGCCTTTGGCTAACTAAAGTTAGCCAAGTGGTAGGTAACTTATTAAATTATATATTATTCACACAACACACTATATAAACAAGACTATTTTCTTGTAAACTTTCGATGTGGGACTCCTTTCCATATAAAAAAACATTTAAAATGGGTTTATCAACATATGGGCCTATATTAGAGACTTTTCCAATTCACCCAAATTACTTGCAATGACCCACATCATTAAATATTACATTTAATGTTTTAAACCCAAATTAAATTCAATTAATTCCAACAAATTTATTGTCTGGACTGAATCATATACACGAAGAAATTGGGGAACGAAAAATTAGAGAGCAAAATCTGAATTTAGAGCTCGAAGAGAAGAACTGTGAGTTTGAACTATGGGAGGCTGAAGCATCCTCATTTTATTTTGATCTTCAAATTTCTTCCATCCATGAAGTTTTATATGAAAATAAAGTGCATGAGCTTATTGGGGCTTGTCAGAGTCTTGAGAATGAAAGTGCTTCAAAAACATCAGAGATTGAAAGGATGGAAGGGAAATTAAGTTCAATGGAGACTGAAATTTAAGAATTAAAATCTCAACTATATGCATATGCTCCCGTAGTGGCTTCTATAAATGATGATGTGGCATTGTTCGAGCATAATACTCACCTTCATACAAAGCTTAAAGCAGCTCATGGTCGGGAGCTAGAGGTATCTTTCTGTCTTCCCATGAGTAGATTTATGGCTTCATTGTGAAAGCTTTGAGAGCTTGTCATATTCATCTTTTGCATTCACTTTTCTTGAGAGCCTTTCAACTCAACCTGCACAATACCTTTTTAACGTTTTGTCTCTAGAAATATGAAATGGACATGCAATTCTATTAGTTGCCCTAGGATAGACCACAGTGGATATGAGGAGTTGCCTTTTTAATATCAGAGAAATATGGAGGAAGACTTTTATATTCTCAGTCCCTCATAGTCTCGTTCGAAAATGACACTTTGTATGGGATAAAAGTGAACTATAATTTATGAAATTGAGATTGTGGTGGGAGGAGCACCTCGTTTAACTCAGCTAGTGTCCATATTCACAATTACTTCGTTACCATTCCCATTCCCATTACCATTACAATTGTCTGTACGATATTTTTGGAGAGATTCATCTAAAGTATCTTGAAGCTTAAGTCTGTAGCATGCTGGTTGTAAGTCTAGAAAGTGATGTACAGAGCATTTTGACTAAGTTTAAAAGAAAATGAAAGTACTTAAAAAAAAGGTAAGTAGACCGACTTTAAAACGGTAAATTTTTTAACTAAAAGTTTTAAATTTCTTTTGCAGACACGTTTGAAAAAAAAAATGTTTCTTAAATGTAAATTTTCAACTTGTACATATGTTTTGGCTAAGCTTAAAAAGTTACTTTTAGGTAATTTTACCTTTTTGTTAGGCTTCAACAGAAACTCAGTCTCTGCATTTCATGAAATGACTAAGATAAGCCAATTTGATTTCAACATTTGTCTCCAAGTTGAAGATAATGTAACGTACAATCATTCAATATCGATAATGAACTAAAATGGAAAGTATCTGAGGTCTGTATTCTCGTCCTTCAACACTTACACCAGCTGGAAAATCTTTTCATTACTGGTGAAGCTTTCACTAAACTTTTTTTGTGCCTCATCTTTGCAGTGTTCAGAACCCATGTCCCGAAATCGTATGAAAGTTCTATTCCCCGTGCCAAATGAAATTCAAGATTTGCAAAAATTACCGGTCAGAGTCAAAGAAGTTGGAAAGGTGATGGAAGAAATGGACAAATCTGTTTTGCAGGGAAGATCAAACTCCAAAATTGATCAACCAGATTCAATGGCTGAGGTTGAGCAGTTAAAACCACGACAAAGATTGGATCAGGATAAACTTTATAATGACCTCAGCCATTCTCTCACGTTGCAGAAAATAAAAACCAAATCCATTGAAGCCCAGAATGGAATGCTAATCATAGATATATCTCTTGATAATGTTTCTGATAGCACGTTATGCAGTGTACGCAGGAGGGGTACATGTGGAGCTGATGATTGGATGCTCGCGCTGTGGGAAACTGTCGAGGAAGGAAATTATGGTCGAACAATTGGAGAGTCACTAAAGCAGATTTATAAATTGACGGAAAGGGATATATTGTACGATCATTTTGAGAATTTAAAGAGAGATTCTGAATCTTGTCCAGACAATGAAGTTGAGAAGGAGTTGGGTGTTGATAAGTTGGAGCTATCTACACAATATACTGAGCCCAGTCATGAAATGAGCCGTAGAAAGATCCTTGAGAGACTTGCATCTGATGGGCAGAAACTCAAAAGTCTCCAGACAACAGTGCATAACTTGAGAAGGAAATTGGAGATGAACAGAAATACTAGGAAGACTAAGAATGTTGATATTGAAACAGTTCAGGAGAAGCTAGCAGAAGCAGAGGAAACTGCTGAGCAACTAGTGGATTTAAATGGCCAACTGGTGAAAAATATTGAGGAGAGTCATTCTCCAGATGTAAGGGCATCCCCAGAGTCGAAAGAAGCTTTGAAACTCAGCAGAAAGTTTTGGAACAGGCACGAAAGGGATCTGAAAGGATTGGTCATTTGCAACTAGAGCTTCAGAAGATCCAGTACGTGTTTTTGAAACTTGAGGATGAAAAGAAAAGCGAAGGACGAGGCAAATTTTTGCGGAGCAAAACGAGCATTATTTTGAGGGACTTTATTTGCTATGGGAGGAAGAACGGTGGGAAGAGAAAGCAGGCTCCTTTTTGTGGATGTTTTAGGCCTTCAACTAGTAGAAATGAAGGAGCTTTTAAGTTTTATGTTTGCTAAAATAGTTCTTGTATTATCCTGAAAGGATCATCATTTTCAGTTAGTTTCCCAGAACTAATTTTCTAAAGTCTTAAGACTGGAAGAATTATGAGGACTAATTCAAATAAGGTACTTTCTTAACAATTTAAGTTTCTACCTTGTTGTTTACTATGTTTAAGCTAGAGGTATCTGAAAAAGTTTGGTGTTCTACACAATGTTCGACTCCAATCTCAATTATCATTCTTGTATAATTGGCAGTGACACATAAGGCAGGCACGCAGGGTCTAAGCATCCCATTTTTATCAATCAAGCTTCAAAGCTACCATTTTTTCCCCACTTTAAAATTTTCGAGGTTAAATAAAATAATTAAATAAAAAAGGAAAAACTAAGTTACATAATTTTATTTATTTAATGGTTTTAAAATAATATTTAAAACGTGAAAACACTTTATTAAACCTAGACTCACTGCTTATTTGAGGTGATGTTCGAGTGGGTTAGACGGGCAAAACACACATTATTATCATGGGGGCATGCCTGTTCTGTGCATGGGCCAATGACAAAGAGTGTTCATATTCCACAATGAAAATGACAGTGTGTTCATATTCCACAATGAAAATAACCAACTTTTAGAGATTCAATTTCATTAATCAGATTGTATTTATTTAATTTTTATTTTTTCAAAACTCAGGTACAATAACCCACTATACAACGCGCGTACTACACTCCAAGCACATTCTACATCACACTCCCACTTTTTAGCTTCATTCATGTGAATTGTATTTTGGGGGAAAATGGGGAGTTTATTGACACAATATGAAATATATAATTGTACAAACAAAAACAAAATTAAAAGTAAAGAAAGAAATTGGTAGAGGAACATAGCATTTTATTGACAACCAATATGAGAGAATAATACAATTTCAGCAATAATGCTTCCCCTAAATTAAAGGAAGAGCCATATATTTATAGGAGCATACCAAACCTTAAAAATACCATAAAGATGGAATAATATAAAAAAGATATTGGGGGATAAAGGAAATAATATTTTTTCAATAAAATCACATGAAATAAAGTAAACCATATTTTCCAATAAAATCACGTGAAAATAAGGAAATAATTTTTTTTCTCAAAAAATCCAACATAATTTGGATCACAAAATCTAACAATATCCATCTTAGCCCAAATTCTGGTGCAACGAATAAAGCTCTATAATTTCTCCACCTGGAAAAATAAGTTAGATTGCAACGAAATAAATTGATCTCTTCATTTAAAACCAAAACCCTTCACCTTACTACGCTCTACCTCTTCCACAGTATCCATAAATGATACTTGAATCCAATCCCGAGTTCCCAAAATTCCACAAGGAATTTAAAATTTACCAAATTGGGTTGAAGCACACCCTGTAGCAAAATCCACACTGAGTGCTTTGATTGACAGCCCCTTGCTAGACTTGACACCTTTAAACTCCTGAAAAGCATGAACACCAACATCTGCAACATTGTATCTATTCTCTATGAGTCCTTCCCTAACAAATGAACACGATGGAACTGCGAATGATGGTGGCAAAACGGACTTACCCATATCACCCAAACTCTCCCGAGTAGTGTTCTTCAATAACTCAGAGCCAAACCCTGAAGGTATCGTGCCAAACTGTATATCCATTATGATATTGAACCTATCCAGGTGTTTCTTCACTGATTTTGAATGCCCTTGCAAGATGTATGACTGAGACTTCTTCTGTCCCTCCAGTACAACTCAGATACCCTTTCATACCTTCAAGACTCTACTTCTACTAGAAAATTTGTACCCATTCGAATCCAAAATACTTAGCGAGATGAGATTCTTCCTCAAGTCTAGAACATGTCGAACTTGCCAAGTGTTCTTACTGTCACATCTAACAACCTCAATCTGACCTTCCCAATTCCAGCTACCCTACATGATTTGTTGTTTCCTATGACAACAACACCTTACTTCACCGTTTCATATGTTTCAAAGCAGGCCCTATTGGGACACATATGGAATGAACACATTGAATCCAAAATCCACTATTCATTGGTCTTGGATTCCATGTCAGATACAGCCAACATCATATCTCCACCATCCAAAAATTATCAGCAATGTTTATCTTGTTCGAATGACCTAATTCTGATTGTCTCCAACAATTTGCAGTTGAATTACCTTTACCTTGCAACTTGTCGCAATCATTTTTGATGTGTCCTTCCTCTTGCAATAAAAGCATACCTGATTGCTGAAGTTCACCCTTGACTTACCCTTTCGTCCAGCTCCAAAGAGATGCTTCATCTTCACATTTTGAGAATAAAGCGTCATAAATGTCATCAACAGTGAGTGTATCACAACTATACAGAATCATGTCCCTGAACGACAAATACGAAGCGGGCAGTGAGCACAACAGGATCAAGGCCAAGTCATCTTCTTCATACTTTACCCACCGTTTCTAGATCAGTGACGATTTTCTTGAATACAGTAAGATGGTCCTCTAAAGAACCTCCTTCTCCCATGCGAGGAGAATATAGCCTCTGCTTGAGATGCAACTTGCTTGCCAAACTCTTTTTTCATGCATAGTTGCTCCAGTTTCAACCATAATGTAGTAGCTGTCTTCTCCTTTAGTATATCCTGAAGAATGTTGTTAAAAGATGAAGATGTATTTGCGAAAGAGCCTTCTGATCCCTATGTTACTTCTCCTCTGCTGTCAAAGTTGTGGGAATCTTATCAAACCCCAATAACACATCATCCAAGTCCATCTGTGCCAACACTGCTCTCATCTTTACTTTCCACAACTAAGATCTTGTATTGCGATCCAAAAGTGAAATTTCATACTTCGTGGTTGCCATCGATAACAGAAACCTCGAACCAAATTTGCAACCGATAGCTTTGATACCACCTTTTGGAGAAAATCGATGAGGTTATTGATACAATATGGAGTATATGATTGCACAAACAAGAATAAGATTAAAAGTAATGAAAGAAATTGGCAGAGGAACAAAATGTTTTATTGACAACCAATAGGGGAGAATAATACAATTTCAGCAATAATGGTTCCCCTAAACTGAATAGAAGAGCCACATATTTATATAAACATACAAAACCATAAAAATATCATAAGGATGGAAATAATATAAAAAATAATATGGAATAAAGGAAATAATATTTTTTTTAATAAAATCACGTGAAATAAATGAATCAATATTATCCAATAAAATTCGTGAAAATAAGGAAATAATATTTTTCAAAAAATCCAACCTAATTTGGATCACAAAATCTAACATCATAGTCAATAGAGAGAGAAAATGATGCAAATGGCAACTTAGAGAGAGAGAGAGAGACCATTATCCTCACTACACGATCATCCATTCACTCCCAGATTCTTCTCATTCGACAACATCGCCAATTCAATATGTAATGGTAGTCGCAAGAGCAACACTTTTCCATGTTTGTTTGTATAAGATAATAAATCAGGGGCTTACTCCAGCCCCTAATTTTACAGAAAGTTGGAAACTCCATTTTCCTTCTTTTACCTTGTGTGAAAAGTAAATGAGTCAAAGGAATTTGATATGATCTTCAAGATAGGTGCTGTAGGTTCACAAAAAATATAATTTCATATCTAGATTTTGATGTGGAAGCGAGGAACAAAATAGTGTTAATAGTGGGTCTGTTGCTGCTATAGACAGTAGAAATGTTGTTCTATACTCGGATGAAATAGCCAGACAAGTTATTGAAGAGGCAAATGACCATGCCTTGCCAAATAGATTGAGTAGTGAGGTTGAGAATTCAATTTTGCTTGAGGCTCCTAATTGGCAACTGCAAGAACAAGGCAAATTTGGAGATTTTGCATCAAAATATTCGAGACAAGGTATAGCTTGCTATTTTGAGTTGTGATGGTGATGAGTTACGGTGCTGGTTTATAGTGTATGTGAATTTATTTTGTGGTGACCTTTTGTAACCAAGTCTTTTTTAATTGTAACTAGGTGTGACCAAGCCTTGTTTTAATTATGATCATCTGTGACTATATGTGTTGTGGTGTTGGTCTATGGTGTGTGTGAATAAATTTGTGGTGCACCTATGTGACCAAACTTGTGTTAATTGTGACTGGTTATGACCAATTCTATGTTAATTGTGATCAGCTGTGATGTGATCACATATTGTCACTCTTAAGATTGGCCTGGTCACGAATAGTATCATAAAGATGAACTTGGTCACAATTAGTTATAGATAACACAATTCAGTAACTTGATTACATAAAGTCAAAAATTAGACAGATTTGATCACAGACGATCACGTTAAAGGCAAATTTGGTCACGATAGTTACAAATAATACAAGTATAGTCACAAACAATAAATATTGTCATATATAACACGGTTTAGGCTTGTCAATGAGCCAAGCTGAGCCTGCCCGGCCAAGAAATCTAAGCTCGGTCTGAGCTTTTGGTTTGAGCCTAGCCAGCTCAAAATTTTTTTTTTTTTTGAACTTCGTTATAATTCTAACATTTTTCAAAAAAATAAATTAATTAAATTTGTACAATTTTTACGAATTATAAATTAAATATAAGTTACATTTTTGGGGCTTGGGATTGGCTATAATCAACGTAGGTAGAGTTAAAAATTGTACGCGAATAAAATATTTCATGTACAATTTTTCTTGAGACAAATAAATTTAAAAATTATGTATCTTTTTAAAATTAATCAATTTAAAAGCTTACAGTATTTTTATGCTTAGATATGCTATAACTCTTTAGCCATTATATTGTCAACTTATTCTTGAATACGTGATTCAGCAAATTCCCAGTCCTTTAAGTCTATTAAAGTCTCAAATATATTCTCTTTAAGTTTTGCTCCTTCGTCTAAATCGCAAATACGATCTAAGTAATAAATGCCCAAGTTTCCTTTGGATCCCAACTCCAATGATCATCAAAACTAAATGCAGCATTCGATACCATCGTAGACATCGAATGTGTAGTAGATCACGTGCAATTTTTGACATAATTGAAATATTGCCTTTTGTTACATCTCCACCATGAATCCATGATAGAAGACTAAATTCCTATAATTTTTTTTTTTTGTAACACATTATGAACATCCACGCATATTTACGTAGCTAACTCAGAGGGAATTTCAAGATTTGTGCCACTAATGTCTATCGTTTTACAAATTGATGAACTAGAACTAAATGATGGAACAATTGTATTGCTGTCCAAATAATTTCATAAATCATATGAATTTGTTGAAATATTTTTTGAAAAAGAACTTTGGAAAGTAGAATTGCCCTGACCTCGATTTTCTGCGTAATAGTTATATATTTCACATAATGTAGATTCTATATACACATGTAATAATTTCAAATTCATGAAATTTGAAATTCCCTTTATCATAGTTGCCAGTTAAACTAAGTCGATGGTCTATCATCGGAGTTAAAAGAAATAAAAGGGGCAATTCTTCCCAATATTTACTATTTTAACTCCATCAATAAAAATTGGCAAATTCATATATTTATGAAATGTTTGTGAAAATGTAGAAAAAGTGTTGTAAAACAAGTAAAGATGTAAGGTAATAAATACCGCTACATTTCTATGTGGCATCGAAAAAAGGTTTTAAAAATTTATTTACACAAAATACAATAAACCATTCTCAATCTTTCAAATTATGTTCGGGTCTGTATGTACGCCTACCATTATAATATAGTGAAATAATTTTATCATAAATTTCACGTGAATGTATCATAAGATATGTAAAGTTCCATCTATGTGTTACATCAGTGACAAATGATTTTTCTTGTAAGTCACTCTCTGCACACAAAATGTTAAACGCTGCTTTCAAGCTGGTAACAAAGTAATAAAATTTATTGTTTATCTAATTTTGTCTAAAGGCGATTTTATGTGTTCCAAACTATTTTTTACAATCAAATCGATAATGCGGCATACACAACCTTGATAAAAAATATATATTTCTAAATGCAATGTTAAGATCATTAATAAATTTATAGATAACAAGTTTGTTCACACCAACATTATCGAAAGTAAAATTTCAAATCATTTCTTGCATACCATATTCTTGTATAAAATCTTTTAAAATCATATATATATTAGTTGCATTATGAAGATATTCTACATCTCTGAATGCAATAATCCTATTATGTAGGACCCATAGGTAATCAATGTAATTAGCCGTAATATCAACATATCCTTTTTTATTAACACCGGTGCACAAATCAGAGGTAAATGATATAACACTATTAAAAGTTTTAGTTGTTCAATACTAAATTGTTTTCTTTTGTTAAATAATTTCACAATATCTTAACGAAGAGTATTTTTACAATAATGAGTATACCTGGGTTGGAGATAATTCTGCGCGAGTTGGGTAAAGTGTATTGAGTCTATCATTGTAAGCGGCGTCTCTACTGCAGCCACGTACGCAACCATTCTTTCACGAATCTTCCCTGTGAATATACAAAGTTGGAAAGAGTAGAATCAAAACCGTCAAACACTAGTTCGGTTTATTTTGGGACGAGGCCGATTGGTTTTGCTTTGTAACTCTTCAATATGTGCCTGTTCAAATGCATTGTGCTTGAACCAGATTGTCAACTAAGTTCTTTACCACGGTAATTGCAACATGCTTTCCAAATATCAATTCCATTTTGAACACCAACTTTATTACATGTCATATGTTGCCAACAATTTGAGGATTCTTTTTTCGATCTTTTAGTAGTCTTAAGTACTTTTTCATCTTCAATTTCCTTCAAATCAATCGGAACATTTTGAAATGCATCATAGCCTGCTGGAGTACTCAAACTACCCTTAAACTGATTAATCTCATCACTAGTAAAATCCATCGATATTCTATAATTATTATAAAAAAAGATATTGAATATTAGAATAAAGAAATTAGAGATTGAAGTTGAAACTTGAAACTAGAATATTGTAAGTTAAAATTGATTGAAGAAAATTGATTTGAAACTCAGAAATATGACCCATATTTATAACATAAAAGATCAAACCGTTTTAACTACATTTGAAATTCAAATTTGAATTTTTATACACTTATATTGCTGCCTTAGCCGGCAGCTAATCTGTAGCCATTTAAAATTTTTTTTTTTTTTTTTACTACTTTTTTCAGCTTGAGCCAAGCCCAAAATGGGGCTCGACCAAAGCTTCGGCTCGATTTTCCTGAGCCACGGGTCGGGCGGGCTTAAGCTTTTCTCGAGCAGCAAAGCCCAATTTTGCATCCCTAACACAGTTTCACAATTTTGGTCACATACAATGCACCACTACTATCACCACACAATGCCCAAAGCGTTGCCGCCACTACCACCACTACACAGATCAACGCCAGTCCACTCTTATCCATAATCCAATTTCTAATTTAAAAAATTACTACTTGTAAATCACATCATTTTAAGACATTAATATTAAATTTCAGATTCTTTTCAAACACTATAATTATAGTAAATTGATTAAATATATAGGTTCTTTTTCTTTTCTATAATTAATTTATCTGCTGCTGATTCTTGGCATCGTTCCAAACCATTAGTTTTATTTGAAATAATCTTGTCTTTTTTAAACCCACTAGTGATTTTCCTTCAAAATCTTAATTTTCTAATTGAATCTTAAACCCGTACAGAAAGGAGACTACAGATGTCCACCAGATTATTCACATGGTGAGCCCCATGTGGGCGATAAAATAATGCTAGTGTTGTTTGGCCTAATACATGCAGCTCTGTTGATTGTTGAATTCTAACATACGTTATTGCGGCTAATTGCAAAGTTATCATTAATTTTCAATTTTTGAAATTTTGTTGCAGGTGGGTGTGGTGAGGTGGGATATTATTAATTGATATATTATTAATTTGTTGGTGGGGATACTATTAATTGGCTTTGCATAATTAATTTCAATTAATAATATATTTTACACTTGAATTTTGAAATAATTTAATAAATCCGTTAGTTATAAAATGTAATTCTTATATGAAGGAGCCAAGGAAAAATATATTTCATAATGGTGACTTTCTGGAAAATGTGGTTTAAAAAAATAAATTGAGTTTTCCACAAAATTATTTGATTGAAAGATTGTATAATTCAAAAAATAAAAAATAAAAACAAAAAAGAAAGGGAAATAATAAAAATAAAAATAAAAAATTAAATGAAGCAGAATAATTTTGACTTGACAAAGCTCAAACAGAGGCTATATTGTAGAATAAAAAATAAAGATTGTCGAACATTTTGGAATGCAACATTAGGCAAGAACGAACGTTGTATTTGGTCGAGACAATTTCCCTAGATTTCTCGTAGCAAACTGGATGATAAAACTCCCAGTGGAATGAAAAGATACAAATATGAATTAGGCAGATAAGAATAACAATAAATGTGAAAAATGTATGATCAGAGGAACATTACATTTATCTATCTGAATTGTCCCGAAACCCAGTGTTGTACCCTCTTCAAAGTAAAAAACTCTTTCCTAAATCACTCCAAAAATAAATCTTTCAAGGAAATTAACGCCAGCTTCTCAAAAGCCAGTATAGGAGCCCGAAATTGATTCAGGCACCAACAACTTCAGTTTCCTCATCCATTGGCTCCTCAGCAGGCCTGTCCAACTTCACGCCAACATCTTCACTATAATCACCGTGAACCTACATGATCATGAAAAATAGTAATTAATCGACATGATTTAGCATTAACATCTCAATCAGGAGCCACAGTCCAAAATTCAACTCGTTCAAACTAAGCTTAGTCCTCGCTTAAAGGTCTTACCCATGTTATGTGCATTTGAGAATTTAGAGTTAATGAAAGAGCGTGAAAGAAACTTGCCTCCATCAACTTGCCAAGGTCGAATTTGGGAGCTTTCAGGATCTTAACCTTCCGAATATAAACATTTTGCAGAGGGTATATGCTAGAAGTTGCCTTCTCAATCTCCTTCCCAATTGACTCGGGAATGAACTTCTGAACCAAATCCTTGAGATCACAAGATTGTGCCTGGTTAACCATGATCTCCCGCATCTTCCGTCGGATCTAAAAAACCATGACAGCGAAAGATAAATGACAGTGGTAAACAAAAAAGAACAACTACAGAACACCCTCAATAACATTACTACAATAATAGCAAAAAAATTGATCCTCCAAGCTTAACATGCTATGTAGAACCTCAGTTTATATTTCATATAAATATGTATAACATAAACATCGAGTAACTGAACAGTACAATTCACCTGGCGAATCTGACTTGACTGTGCATAACAAGTCCTTTTTTGTTGGTTCACACGCTTCTTAGTGAAACCAATACAGAACATCCTCAAAGTATAGTTGTCAGTAGTCTTAACATCAACATGAGCTTCAATCAGTGATTGCCATTTCCTCACAAGTGACCTCAATTTATCAGTCGTAAAGTTCATGCCCTGCAATTTAAACAAGACACAATGGCCATTAGAAATTCATCTTTAAAATGGCATTTAACACTGAAGAAGCTGAATTAGCTATTCAAGATTTTATCATACCCAGAAGTTCGTTAGAACATTCTTCCCCTGAACATCCTCAGCTCTCAATCGGATCTTTCTGAAGGAGTGGTCTTCATCGCCTTGAAGATCAGCCAAGGATATTTCGAAAACCCGATGCTTAAGTCCTTCCGAAGCAATCTGATTCAGAAAATGTTACTACCAGCTTAAGTGCTTCTATGTAGGATGATAGTCTATGTAACATTTTCCAAGAGATATACATAACATAAGATGTTCGTTCCAACAATTGAAAGGCATCAACGTTCAACCAGCACAAGGATCCAGTTTGATAGTTTAGATATATATAAAGCACAACATAAAGAAGTGTTAGAAAATGTCGAGAAGATAATCCATATAATTCCCTTATTTCTTTTATCAAGCAGTTGAGCATTAAAAAGAATGGTGTATCAATTTCTAGGCTTTATACCTACAAGGTAAAAAACATGGCATTCAGATTTATTAGATTCCTTGCTTAACTTTAACTAAACAAGGAACTCGACTATTGTACCGATAGACCATTATAATTTATTATCTAGTCAAAAAAGCAAAGTCGTGGATATAAAACCTTAATTTCAGCATGACATGGAATGAAAGACACTTACCAAAAATGCGCAAATATTCTCGTAAGTTATCCATGAATATCACATTTAGCAAGTAGTATCTATCTTTTCATTTCAGATGAAAAGGCAGCATAGAAATGGAAGGTCATGGAATACCTAAACCGCACAGCATTATTAATAACCTTAACCATCCTAGAATGTATCTCTGTATCTTTATATAGGAGAGACAGTGACAAATGAACCCCCAGGAAACAAAATACAACACGTTTATTTGAAAAACCACAAACAATCCTAAAAGATCAAATTACTTAAACATCACACGTGTAAATACATTTGTCCTAAATAAACAATTCAGCATTAACAAAACGTATCACCTTATAACTATCACTAAGATGTCAATGGAAATTTTAATACCTTAGTACCCTGGGTACGAGTAACTAGGGTTTTGCCGATGTTTCTGGTATTGAAAACTGAGGGGGCTTTGATATCATACCAGTCCTTTTTTGCGAATGGATCAACTCTATACATACACAAATACACATAAATTAACAAGATCTTTTGGAAAAAAATCCAGTTATTATAAACCAAAAAATAAAAAATACTCACGCTTTCTTTTTCCCTCCCTTCTTTCCCTTCGAAATCCTCTTGTTCTTCCTATTCCACGTCAGATAATTCATCCATATTACCAATTAAAATCAGGAAATCATATTACATACACGATATTTATGTCGATATGTACGTATATACAGAGAGAGAGAGAGTACCCGACGGCCATGGCTGCTGTGGCTGAGCTACTGAGATGTGAATACGATAACGGCTGAGGGAAAAATCAGATGTCTTAAATTGGGGTTAGCAAAAACCCTAGTTTGGTGGTTTATATGCGAGGGATTTTTTTAAATGGTCTATCACTATTCATTCTTACTAAAATGTGCTTGTCATATTTTGCACAAAATATCCTAATTTAGTAAAATAATTCTAAAATTCTTCTATTTCTCTTACTTCGAATTTTAATATATAGTTCCATCATTTGATATAATAAATTAGCATAATTTGTAATATAATTGTCATATAATTCTTTAAAATTATCATATTTCTTAGATGATATATCCATCGTCTCTAGTTGAGAAAAAATATTTTCTATTTTTTCTAATAGTCTTTCTAACAGATTATCTAATCCTTTAATTGTATAGTCTGGCATCATATAGATAATTCCTTACAAACTTTATGATAATAATAACATGATAAATAAGTTTTTGCAAACATGATAAGTAATAATCCCTACGATTCCTTCAAGCTATTAGAAGAATTCTTTTTAAATTTAACAAAGACAATAATTTTACATTACTTTTGATCTCAAATCTGTATTGTTAGAATCGAGTGACCTTCAGGCTTTGAATTTGCAAACTGCTCCCTCAAACGGCCTTTTGCCTTAATGGAAATTTTGCTATTTCAACTTCTTGCCTCACTATATCTTTTTTTAGAATTAAGAATAAGGATCTTAAGCAGAGAAAATTCTCTCTTTGTTAAAGTAAGAAAGAAATTATCTTCTTCAATCTGTCAAGAATCTACGGGATAATAAGTTTAAAAACTCATATTTTCCTGATATCAAAAGATTGAAATTTTATTTCTATAATGATTTATACAAGATTTCTATTGTATACAAAGGGTTTCCAGAAAAATTGGTTTTATAAAAAGTTTAAGGAAAGAGGATGGTTTCTAACTCGAGATGATCCATTTTTTCCCCCAAAAACCTCTATTTATACATGACTTAAACTTGCTATTATTGATCTATTAAATCATTGCATACATCAGAATTTGAAAAGGCTCACATGCCTCTCTATTTTTTTCCTCCTAGGGTTTACATTTTCACATGCGTTTTTTGCCTTTTCATCTAAGGGGCATCTTTTCTTCTATTATAGTCTCTCCATCTTTGGCTCCATATGCAGCTGACTAGATGCTTTAGTAGTGGTAAGTCCCCTTCCATTCATCTTTTATCAATCTTTTTAGTCTTGTCTGCATGTGGGGCACTCCCTTAATCTGCATGATTCTTGGATTATTGTAAGACTTCCATTAATTTGATGAATATCAAATTTCTGGATATATTCTTTCAAAATAGTAGATTTTTCTTTTCCATTGTTCGTAAGGAGTGTCCATCCTTCATATTGACATAAGCATCTGAATTTTTTATCATATAAGTTTTTTGCAATGTTATAAAGAACTTTCATCTCCAAAACTCTTCGGGATTTTATCCATGATTTATTGATTTTAGGCAATGGTTTATTATTTCGGCTAACTTCAATCTGAAAATCTCGGCCAACATATCCAATTGTGATAATATGTTCAGCGGGATAGTATATCCTTCCATCAACCTCAAGACTTATTGAATAAAATTTGATATCAATCGATCTCTCTTGGGCAAATTTTGAAACTTCTGCCTTGAATATATCATCAAAATTTTCAATTTCTTTTAAATCTTTTCCTGAATAGATCAAATCCAGAAATCCATAATCTGCTGCCATTTTGACCATGAAAGGGTCTGCATCTTTGGTAATTATTAATCTGGGATAAACATAATCTCCTGATACAATAAAATATGATTCATTTTCTTCCAATTCATAAACAATTTTGGCAAATGATCTATATTCTTCTTCTTTTGATGATAAAGGGGTATCATCATCTTCATCAGTTTTGATCCGGATAACTCTTGTATGTTCATCACGATTTTTTATAGTCACCTTCCGAGGACTTGTTATGTCTCGTTTGATATTGCTGGATCCACTGCTGCTTTCTGTCTGTGTACCTATTTGTATTTTTGAGATTGTATCTATTGGTATTTCCTATTTGGTATTTAATTACTCGAATTGTGAAGTAATATCATCAATTTTATCATTCAATTCTTTGGTATATTTGGAATGAGAATTAGAGATTTCTACCAGTAATTTGACATTTTATTGGATAGATTCTGTCATTTGCTCTAGTTGCTCAATTCCAATTTTCATATCTTCTGATTCCTCCATGAAGAATTCCATTCGTCTTTTGACGTCTATTAATGAATTTTTGATATTATCCATCTCCAAATTCGATATTCCTACTCAAAAAATCTGCAAAATAATTATTTATTCTTTTAATATGAACAATATCAAAATTGTAAAATGATAAATATGCTTGCCATCTGTGTAACCTTCTATATTGAGGTTCCATAGGTAACTTATTTCTAATAAGTCCTGCAACTTGAGAATTATCAGTTTCAACAATAAATTTTTTAGATAAAAGGAATAATGAAAACTTTTTATTCCTCTAATAATTGCTAACAATTCTTTTTCATGAGTAGTATAATTTATTCTGTTTGGTTAAAAGTTCCACTTGAATATCTGCATATTTCATTTAAATCTGTTTTTAATATAGCTGTCCAATATTTATCCCAGGCATCAGTATTATCAATTAAATTATCCTTTTCATCCAGTAATCTTAATTTTGGTAAATTTTTACATTCTTCTTTTAACGATTTAACAATTTCAGTATGTTCTTTATTCCAACATTTAGTATTTGTTTTTTAAGTAGAATTTGTATCTTGTGTCTCTTTTTTGAGAGATTTTCAATAAATCCTTCATCATAGTTTAAACATCCTAAAAATTTTTGTATTTGTTCTTTGGATTTTAATTCATTTGGAAAACTTTCTATCTTTTTAGATATATGATTTTGCAATCAGGACTTTTATGGTTTATTTCTCTACAATTCTAACAATTACATTGTTTTTTATCTTTCTTATAAGGTTTACTTTTCTGTATATTATTTTTTCTTTTATAATATTTCCTTCTAGGTTTTATATATTTTTTTCTTAAAATTTCTGTATTTTTTAAACTTTTTATTTTTATATTTTCTTTTATTTCCTTTTCAGAATTACATCCCCATCTTGTAGATTTTTCCATATCTTCACAACATATTCTAATTAATTTTCCTGATTTTTTCAATAATTGTATTTGTTGACATATATATGCAAGTATTTCAAACAAGAATTTTATTCTTGATTCTAATGTTCTAGGTATTTCTATATTTTCTTTAATATATTTTTCAAATTCTATTTTAAAATATATTCTCCATGAACCTGGTAATTTATTATAATACATATCTTGATATACTTCTTGATTCTTATTACTATAAAATTGAGTATAATAGTAATCCTTGAATTCACAAGTATATTCTTTAATTTTACACACATCGCAAATTGTTAAATTAATTAACTTAACTCTTGCATTATCTTTTTTTCGTATTGCTTCTTCTTCATAATTTCTTAACCAATTTTCTCCTAAAAATTTATCTGCAATATATTCTACTAATCTTTCTATTCCTAGTTTATCTGACTTTATTATTTCTGTTTATACATTTCTTTTTATTAATGATTTTGTATCACTACTTATTCCTTCCCATCAATTTCTAACATTTTCTTCAAAAGATGTAATTAAAAAATCTATTCTTCTTTTAGTATTTTCCCATGTATCATCTTTATTATATAAAAAGAATAATATCATTGAGTCTGCCCAAGTTATTAAGACTTTCTTAGTGTCTATTTTGCAATCTAAGTCTAATTTTGTTCCACCACGGTTAACAGGTTTATCATAATTATTATTTAATTCAAATCTATTACTATATTTATTTCCTTTAGACGGTTGTTTTTCTCTTATTTTATCATAAAATTGTCTATATGATTCATTATATATCGGAGCATAACTTTCATCTGAATCTATTGATTCTTGTTTAGAAATTCCCGCGAGATTAGGTCCTCCTCCAGTATTCATTAAGATTTCGTATTCATCATCTATACTTTCTAAGTTTAAATGATCAAAATTATCTATAAGTAGATCTAATTTTTCATTCATTTTCTTTGTTTTGATTTTCTTCAATTTTTTATTTACCTAACATTTTTTTCTAGACTCCTCTTCTTCTAATATTTTATATAATATATTTTTTCTAAACTCATCATCCATGCTTCCTGTTTCTATTATTATTATTTTTTTCTTTCAATATGTTTTTTCCCTATTCTGGTTATTTCTTTTTCTATAAATTTTTTATCTATTCTAATATTCTTTTCTTCATTTTCTTTTAATTTTCTGACTTCAAGTTTCAATATATTTATATCATTTCTTACTTCTTTTATTTCATTCTTTATTTCTTGTACATCATTTATTAATGTTCTTATTAAATGTTTTAATTCTTCCATATGTTTACTGATTGACATTTTCTTTTATCGATTTTTTGATTGACAACAATAAAATGCTATATACTCAGCATTTTTATAATCTCTTATCATTTTATCATACTTTTATTTTATAACTTCAATATTTGTTAGTTCTTTTAATTTTTCATAATACCTTGCTTTTTCTTTATACATTTCTTGTTTTAATTTTAATATTTTTTTTCTTGAGTTTTAGTTATATATCCAGATATTAATAATTCATCTAAAATTTTATTATTTATTAATCTTATTCTTCTTAACTTTTTTTCTAAAATATTTTTAGTTTCTTCCATTATATTTTTATGATGAATCAAATATTTCTCTATAGTATAATTTATTTTCAAATACTTCAATAATTATTTCATATGTAAGTCTATCTTTGATAATCCTATAATTAACTTATGTAATATTTGTTCCTTTATTTCTCTAGGTAAATTTCTAGTTACATATAATGTTATTATTTTTAATTTATTAGGGATAGGGTTGAAAAATATATAACATCATTTTTCTTCAATACATTGATAATAATTATTTATTTTTATGATTTCCATGATCTATATGGCTCTGATACCAACGGATGGGTGCTATTATGAGCGAACAAAAATCTAATAATCTAATAATCACAAATCTAAAAATCT